ATAATCTTCTCGGTTTTAAAGAGGAAACTTCAAAATTACACTAAGCCATGGAAGGTTAGTTTGAAATAACTTTTCATGTAAATAAATTGATGATTAAAATGGCACAATGTTCGTTTAAGCGTCATTTTTCGAACAAATAGTTTTTTGTAATATTGACAAAAATATGTTTTTTATCGTCAGCCTTAAGAATTAATTTAATTCCATAAGTATGAAAGAATACGTACCAAATATTTTTCCGAGAACTGTATCAAAGATCATTAAAATTAATGTTACGTTAAAACGATATTTCCTCTCTGGAAAATTCTGATATAAATATCAAAGCCTCTTATTACCGCATGTCCTTGCTTCAAACTAGTATCCCGTTACTGTATCACGTATAAATTTACCATATTTCAAAAGATAATAAAAACAATTTAACGAAGATTTCTTCCCGGCAAACGGAGTCTGATGATATTAAAATCGCCATTAAAGTTTATATGTCAAGATTAAAATATGATTATTCGGAAAAATCAAAAATATTTCGTTTTCCATTTGTAAAAAAGATTCAACTTGAAGCATACATCGGATTTGTAAAATGCCTATTCAGAAATTTAAATTCAACACAGGAAAAACTGCTGTGTAAACGTTAAACAGAAGATCGTAAATAAGTGCTGCACAATACTCGTTTGTATTTCCCGAAGCACACTAGAAATTTAATTTCAAACTGAGTTTAATTAATTTATGAGTTTTCACTTTTAATACACGCGGACGAACTACACCAATTGTGAGCAAATAGTTTTCGTTTTTCGTATTTATGTAGAAAGTATAGGATTGTTACATATATGTATATGTGTTCCATATTACTTGTTGTTAGTTTCTATAATCTTACGGAAGATTGTTTAAGAAAATTACAAATTATTCATAAGGAACTAATGCGAAGAGAAAAGTAGTACTTGTCGTTGAGAAACTTTGTTTGCGGTGAGAGATAATAAAAGACACTCCCTTAAACATTTTAATTGGTGTGCACGTGTGATTTGTATTTCTTATCACAGTTTTTGCTGTATGTGCATTTGCAACGTTTCTTTGTGTACTTTGTTTCAATTTAGTCTAAAAATGCAATGATAGTGTACGAGAACATAAAATAGCAACATCTTTTACGAAAGAAGTAATGAATTCCAATGTAATTTAAATTTCTTTTAATATCGGATTCTTTTTAACATCCTCCTTTTAATTTTATAGTCAAGTTGCCAATCTAATTTTAATACCTCTCGACTTTTTTGTTTAAAACAAATAGACAGAAAACATTTTTGTTTATTACGTAGATTGTTGTTAAGCTGTTTGGAATGTATCAAAATTATGAAAATTTGTAGGAAGCACTTTGATAAATGGGGATCGTCATGGTTATTTACGTAAATTATTTTCTTTCACTTTAATTGCTACAAAAAGACCCACGCGTGAAGAGCATAATCGCGACAGGATGCATTAGACGAACTAACGCCTACGGGAAATGCAGATTACTTTAGGCAAGGATTAACACAACTTGTATCTTCAAGTTATCTATTCTCCGGGGACGTGTTTTAACCTAAACTTTTAAGTAGCGATCTATGTCACGTATGCGATCAGGGGAAATTAAGCTAACAAATTCCTCGAAATAGAACGGAACACTATACAGAGACAAGAAAACCTGACAATTAAAAGAAATTAAATTTGAGCTTCACAAATATTAACTGCTTGTATAGAACAGTTACCAGCCAAGTTACAATTGAATTAGTCTTAAAATTATAATTACAAAGTAATATAATTATAATTAATATAATATAATAATATAATAATATTATTATAATTTGTAATACAGATCTCTATTCAATTAAATTAAAATGTAATTCGTAATTGCAGTTGGAGTATAATTATAAAATATTAAGTAATTAAATTACATTTATTACAAATTACGATGTAATTGAATTGAAATTACGAATTAAAAAATAAAGAATTAATAGTTAATAATACAGAAGAAAGTATGCAGAAGAGACATAAAATGAATATACTGAAGAAAAACGTAAAAATGCATCTCTCTAATTTGAAGAAGTGTACAGTAAATTTTCTCCAATTGTCCCTCAGCTTGTAAACAAAAGTCGACAATTTAGGAACAGGAGATATGATTATTCCAGCCTTGCGGTTCGTTTTTATAGTTGTTGAGAATCTCATTTCTCCATTTTCGTGAAGAAGTTATAAACAATATTTCTATAAGCCAACGTAGCGTTCGTAGAGTTGATATTGATAAATTAAATCCAGTTTTGCGTTAACAATGTTATTTCGCGACCAACTTGCTTCTTCTTATTCTTCGTTGTCATTAAACACAGCGACAGGTGTCTCTCTTAAATTCGTGGTGTTTGTATGCGAAAAATAAGATGGCATCAAAAGACATCTCTTTTCGTTGCAAACGCCACTGAAGGAAACGAGTCAGGAAGAGACTCTCGAGGAGAGTTGAAAATATATGTTTGACTATAATATAGGGTGTCTCAGCTAAAGAAGATCATCTACGATACTGAACAAATGTATTCGGACACCTTTTAAAATGCAATCATCTTTTTAAAACTGGACTAAATTACTTGAACGTTTTAGATGATAGGAAGAGTAGACTACTAAAACACTTCTTTTTTAAATTTTAGTATTACTAGGATAACAAAAATTTTATAAATACATTTCATAGATCTTGGTAACTTGTATACATGCTGAAAATTTGATTAAAATCAATGAAAGATTTAAGAAACTGTAGATTTTTGACAGTTGGTCAGAAGTGTCAAAAAACAGGACAAAAGTTACCGAGATTTTTGTTATAGGCTCAAGTGGGAAAGTTAAAAAACGTGAGTTTCTTATTTTTTTTGTTATTCTAAGTAATAGCAAAATTTAAAAAAAGACATTTTAATTATTGTTCACTATTTAAAGAAAATTCAAGTCGTTCATTTGTCCGGTACTGTAAGTATCTCTTCGAATTATGGTTATGTAAAAAATCATTTTCATGTTTTTATATATTTTTATTATATTATTAAGAATTGCGTGCAGACCTAAATGATCTCTATAGTTTTCGATTGTTCTCTTTTCGAGAACAATATTATTTACTGATAAATAAATTAGTAATCAATCGAGAATTATCACATTTAGATTAGTAGATGATCAACTTCCATTATCGTTGATCAAAGTCGTTTGAAGGTCGTGACACTACATCTCCAAACGCATTTATTGATCAATTTCACCGAGCTATAAAAATTTACGTAGTTGCATGCAAAAAAACGCGATGAAAACACGAACAAAAATGACACTAGAAAAATTTTGTTGTCCTTGATGTACGAGTCATTCTGTACATTAGGTGTCATTTTCTATGTACACATACTGTCTACCGTGTAATTAGAAACGTCTAATATTAACTGCAATTTCAGTTCCCGGAATCTATCCTTATTTACAACCTTATGTATCCAAGGCAGAGGAAATAATATTTGAATTTCTCGCAATCTGATAATTATCAGTTAATACCATTAAACTTCACGGGAGACTTTTTATAATGTAACAATTCAATTGTTACTTCAATTATTGAAGCATATAACTAAATGAAGACACGATAAAATGCAGATATCGAGTCAGTAAATGAAATGATTTATAAATAAATGATTTCATTTTTTATTGCGACGAATAAATAAAAAGTCAAATTACTTCTTCCATATCTACAGCAAACATGCAGCGAAGGAAAAATTCATTCACCGGGAAATGTTTTACACTGTTTACTTTAATTGTTTGCAAGTATTAAGATAACCTGCACATAACAATCGAATCACGACTTTTTGGGGTATATAAGTTATGTGTCCGGTCAACCGATATCAAACTTACTTGAAACGTTGTACGAACTACTACAAGATCAAGATGTCTCGTTCCATGATGTTTGTGTTCATCGTCGTTGCAGTATTATGTGTTAGTGAGTATCAAAGTTGTCAAGTGTTTCATTATTAGTAATAAGTTAGCGATAGTAATAAATATTGTTTATTAATTGATTTATTATTACTGCTAGGATACTACGTATGTAATTCTGATTCGATTGCTGAAAAACATTTTAAATTATAATGTATTACCAGATTTGTATGTATGTGCGATTTTTGCGAAGTATCTCCCATACAGTAAATTCTACCTAATTGATGCTCAGATTGTGCACAAGAATGCACAATCTTTAGGGAGAATTTACTGCAATTCTCTTTAGGGAGAATTTACTGCAATTCTCTTTAGAGAGAGAGAGAGAGAGAGAGAGAATTTACTGCAATTCTCTTTAGGAAGAATTTACTGTATTCTGGTGTTACCTAACTATTTTGTTATTTGTTCTATAAGAGTAATATTATTGTTCTATAAGAGTAATAGAAACATATTTATTCAGTGTTTTGGCTATTCATATTAGAACATCGTACATTCAAAAACTCAGAGTCCGTCATTTTATGGTAATTCTTAGTAGTAAGAACACTTTTTTGGATTCCAATCGATCATTTAACACAATTTTCAGCGGTTGAGTGTAACAAATGGTGTCCACCGAATGAAGTTTGGAACGACTGTGGCACTGCCTGTCCAAAAACTTGCGAAAATCCTAATCCACAAATTTGTACTGAGGTTAGTATCAACAACGTACAAAAATTCTAATCAGTCGATTTAGTTTGATTAATTAACATTCGTCGAATTTTTTCCGATTATGCGCTTCTGTGTTTCAGCAATGCGTTATCGGCTGTCAATGCAAGGACGGTCTTGTGAGAAATAAGAATTGGAAGTGTGTTCCGAAATGGAAATGTTAATCATCTATCAAATTTGTGATTCCAGTGATGTCAATTGTTATATTACTCAACATTATGTTATAATTAGTTTCGTGTTACTATTGCATGTTACTTCAATAAAGATAAAATAAAGAATTTTAATTAGCATACTACACCTGCATAAAATTTATTTCTGCTTTCCTGTTTAAAAAGATATCGTTGAATAGTTCTTATAGAACTGGAATTACTGAAAATGTATTTATTAATGCGATATCTAGACTGCGGAAGTAACGCATTTATGACAGAAACGGAAAGTAATTACGATATTTATAACAGTGGATAAATTCTAATAATTGAAGAGTATAGTGGTATGCGTAATTATAGACTCGAAGTAACTTTTACATTGTTACTGATATTTAAACAAAAACCAAAACAACTATATCTGTATATTTCTCTTTTCTATTATTTCTAATATAATATATAAATATATAAATATAATGTTTTGTTAAGTTTTTGTTTAAATATTACTAAAAATGTAAAAGTTACTTTGCGTACATAATTATTCATACCACTGTATCTGTACTATTGAATAATTAGTCTAATATTTTTAACTATTAGTTATCAAAGAAATGATAGAATGTGTATCAGTTGCAAATGAAGCAGATAATTTTTAGTTTGAATAATATGTTACATAAAATTTGTAAGAATAATTGGTAAAGCCAAAAAAAGGAACTACGAAGACATGTATTTTTAAATTGGTGAATAATGGAGCATTCATACTGTATGGA